GACACCTGGAGCACGTGATGGTCTGTAGCACAAGTGCGTGCCAAGCAAGCACCATTAACTCAGCCCTCCTTCCCCTGACATTAGCACGGCCCTGCTCAACAGACACAGACAAGCAAACAGAAGCAGCTTTTTACAGGGTTTATGCAGAGAAGCAAGGGGCGGGCGGGGGGAGGGGGGGGGCCTCTGACAAAAGCCTTATGCACAATAGAGCATAATTTCCTTTGAATGGAAAGCTCAGTTTGCAAAAGTAATCTCAGTGTCTGATAACCTCACATCGTTCCCATTGTGACAGTGCTCAATCTTCCGGTGGCACAAAAATCCAGGTTCTTGCAACCCATGGTCAAATCCAGATGCAGCTTGATCCTCTAATAGTGAAAATCCCTGATCGTGCAGAGCTGGCCCCTCCGAGATCCATATTAGGAAGCTGCACAAATGGGAGGCCATGAAGCCAAACCCTCCTCTTTCATAGGAGACTGTTTGGGGTTTGTTTTGTTTTGTTTTGTTTTAAACAGCTGAAAGCACAGTGACTGTGGAGGTATTTTGTTGACAAATGAAGAAACTGAGGCCGGGGTAGGTCAAGTCATCAGTGAAAGGTGCAGAGTGGGGAGTCGTGGAGTGGCTCCGCCGGGGGAAAGGAGCTGTCTTTCCCTTCTGCAAAGAATCCAACAGAAGAGAGGGAGGGAGACTCTGTGGAGTTAGTAGGTAGCTCGAAGGAGAGGAGTGGGGAAATCTAAAAGAAGGGGAGAGGAAAGAAAACAGGCACACAGGAAAGTCTACATCGTTGGCAGCCTTGTGCAATGAGCGTCGGACGCTTACCCCTAATGCAGAAACCACGAGGAAGCCAGCAAAATGATTTGGAAAGGATAATATGGTCCTCATGACAGGAAGGGAATGCAGTCCCCCTGGCTGAAGAGTCTCAGCAGCAGGGTTTTGGGCAGACCGATTGGAAATGATGCTGTCTCCGCGACTGTGTTGGAAAGCCGGAAAGCCGTGGTGGCAGGGGGCCCCGTGGAGGACCTAGGGGAGAGGAATTGGAAAGCAAACCCTGGCACGGCAGGCCCCGCGGGTTTTCTGTGGACTGAGGACCACTGAGTTGTGCCCTGCGGGAGTGACCCATGGAAATGGCCCATTGTCCCCATCTAGGGAGAGGACAGAGAGTCAGGGGCTGCATGGTGGGGGCCGGAAGAGGACAGGGTTGGGGCGGCGCTGGCCCTCCTCCGATGTGGAGGCTGGGCACCAGGGCACACACCCGGCTGCACTTCGTGACTGTGACACCCCCCGCAGTCGGGCACTCCTGGTGGCAGAGAGACCCCCCTCCTGCTGACAAATGGTCTCTGGTGCAGTTCCCGCTAAGAAACCTGGAGGCCCGAACTGTTGATGACAGTGTTTCCCTAAAACGTGCCCATATGCCGTGTTTTCAAGCTTCTGTCTTTTCTGTTTCTCTGCTAGCATCTCCCGCATGAAAAGGGAGAAAAAGGAAAAACATTCCCAAGCGCCCTCCTCCCTCGCTGTCTGCTACCTCAGTAGGAAGTCTGGTAACCAGATTCCCGTCTTCCGGCAGCCCCATGTCCCTCCAGACTCTCCTCTGACCGCCCTGGTCCTCAAGCCCATGTGTAGCCCCTTCCCAGTCCCTGTCCTTCACCCCTCCCACGTACTAGGTAAAGCCAAAGTCTTGGGAAAAGTGACGAAAAGAGGGGAACTAGCAAGTTCTTTTGGTAACAAAAATATGAAACATCTAAAAAGAAAAATGAAGGAGGCTCATCTCTGTAGGAATGTATAGAGTAAAACCCATTTTTGCTAAAAAAAGAAATTCTTGAAATGATTTATCAAAATTCTTATAGCTGAGAATACTACTCCTGTAAATATGAACGCAGTCCACTTAACCTGGCTATTGTCTGTAGAGTCAAAACCAGCCTAAGCCTTGCTCAGCGGGCATCTCCAGACCGTGCAGGGTGCGGAAGGTGCCTTCCGCAGCTCCGCCAGGCGGGCTCTGGCTTACTGGCAGCGGGAAGAGAGCTGATCCCACTCATACTGTCACTGTCAGCCGAATGTGCCTTGTCTTTTTTCCCACTTTTCTGGCAAAGCTGTCATTGATATGTTTTGGTTTGGCCCAGGGTGTGGAATTGGTTACATATGGTCCCCATGCTTTGAGGAAGCCTGGGGAGAGAAGGAAGGGGAGGAGGGGAGGAAGGAGTCAGGCAGGAAAGGAGGCAGAGCGAGAATAGGAGCAGCCATGTGACTGATGGTGTGGGCCTGCTGGTGGCCTGCGTGGGTCCCCCGGCTACGTCCACTCCGGAAGCGGGCTGTCTCGGGGGATGCTACATGTGTAGGGTCAAGTCGCTCTGTCTGCTGTGTCTGGGACTTGGGCAGAGCACTGGAAAAATAGTCCTGACCCAAGTGGCCAATTAAACTTTCCATTGTCAGAGATTGAACTAAGAGTTTAAAAAAAAATACATGAAATCTTTCCATTTGAGTAGTTTGTTCTTTAATGAAATGAAACATTTACTGACATAAGCTCCACAGAGCAATAGGAGAATGATTAATTAAACTCTGTAGTGCCATTTTGGACAGTCTCAATGCCAGAATAAAGCATTAGAAGGCGTTTGGGGCCAGGGGTGGGGGGGAGGTGAAACCCCTTCCAGAAGAGCCCATCAGGCCTTCCGAGGTTCAGACCTTCTGTCTGTCTTTCTTCCCAGTTCCTACAGGCTCCTGGCAGGGGCAGGACGAGGGGGATTTCTGCAGGTTCAGGTCGTATGGCTTCTGAGATATGAAACCAAGGACTGTAGTAAAACACAAAGCAAAGGCTTCAGAGAATGCCAGTCCTCATACGTGATTACGCTGGCTTCCTAACCTTTCTGGGCTAGCTGGAATGTGATCGCTGCCATCACTCAGGCCAGAGCGTCCTGGCCAAAACTCTTGGGCCCTGATGTGCCCAAGAATCAGACTTTTTTTTTTAAAGAACATCCATGCTGTACATAGACCATCCATCAGATAACACCCTCGAGAGGCTGAGGCCACATCCATATTCAAATAAGACATTCTTACTTCGATAGCAGTATGTATGAATACAGAAAAACAGTAAACAGCCTTGGGTTTTATGGCCAAATGGGGTCAGTTCCGATCAGTTTTGCTGCCAGGTGAGTTACCAGAACTTGGGGTTTCCAGAGCTTTGGGTTTTGGGATGGTGGATAAGGAAATGAGTTTTCAGCAGTCGGAAGAGGATTTAAGCCAATTAGCCACAGAGCTGACCCAACACCCAACTGAAGAGGGCACCTGGTTCATTAAACCCCTCTCACTAAACCAAGGGTCACTCCCAAAATGGGAGCAAGGTTATGTTAGAATAATTAAATTGAAGGCCTACTTCAACACAACAGGAATAATATATGGATTTTATCACAAGAAGTTACAGTGGCAGAGAATAAGAAAGCATCCCAAAAAGGCTCGTATAAGCGTGTGACTGACAGGGCCGTGGCTCGCAGCCACGGGAGCCAGGAGAAACCCAGTTCCAAAAGGAACAACAAAACAAAGAGAATGGCAACAGACCCCGGAAGTCAGGACGGGGTTGTGCTCTGGGCCCAGGTCCTCCAGAGTTAAAGGGAGCTGCTACATGCAGATGCTGTGGTCTTCTGCTGATATCCCTGAGACCTAGGGGAAGACATCTAGGTGTCTGTATGGCTTGAAATCAGGTTCTTGATTTTGTAAGTAAACCAGGTCAGAAATTGGGGAGGGTTCCAGATTACAAGCTTGGGGCCGAGGAGCAGCCAAAACATACAAGTGCTTGGCGGGCAGTGGCAGAAGGCGAGACGGCAGGAAAAGGAAGGAGAGGTAGAGAAGAGTGTCTGGCAGTGATTGGAAGAGGGGTCAGGGCATGCACCTCACCCCACCTATGGTATTTCCTGCTCTGTCAGGAAGGCGGGAGTGCAGAGAGGCTGCCTGCCACCCCCTCCAAACGTCTCCTGTTTGTGTGGTGCAGCCTGAGGTTTCAACATTAGGCAGCTCCCCCAGAGGGTCACAAAGGTCTCAAATGATAGATGGCCTGTCCAAGGTCATGAGTAAACACGGGCCCTGGAGGCGCCCTGTCTCCCCATCAAAGTCACCAAACCCCGGGGCACCTCAGGGTCACTGGGCCAGACGGTGCCCAGCCATGGGGACAAGATGGCACATCTCAGCTGGTGGGGCACCAAAAGCTGGCCCGGGCAGAAGGAAAACGAATTTATGAAGTTCAGAGATGGAGTTCATAGATGTTATAAACATGGGAGAGTGTATTTTTCAGTCTATGCCTTTTTTTTTTTTTTGGTCGGCCTCATTCATAGTTTTTCATCAGTTTAATTGAACTGTAATTTACATACAACAGAATTCAACCATTTTAAGAACACAGTGAGTTTTGACAAGCATAAACAGTCCCACCGCCACATGCAGGATATAGAACAGGAGCTGACAGATTACCGTCTGTGGGCCAAATCCAACGCCCACCTGTTTTTGTTTTGTATATTTTTAAAGGGTTATTAAAAATAGGAATATGCAACGGAGATCATATGCAGCCCACAAAGCCTCAAATATTTGCTCTCTGGCCTTTACAGCTGTAGATTGCTGACCCCTGACACAGAACATTAACATCACCCCCCCCCCCCCCCCCCCCCCCGCAACCCCTTGGCAGGCACTCCCCCACCCCCAACGACTCATCTGCTTTCTGTCACTGTAGCTTTGCTTTTTCTAGAACTTCACATAAATGAAATCCTACAGCACGTTGCCTTTTGTGTCTGGCTCCTTTCACTTACGAAGCTTTCGAGATTCGTCACCCAGCTTTCCGCATACAGCACTGGCACACTCTGGGCTCATTTCTGAGCGGGCGGCGTCCCCTGAAGGGGCCGGGCCCCCTCCCGCCCCCTCCCGCCCCCTCCCGCCCCCTCCCGCCGCTCCGGGCTCGTCGCGTTCTCCCCACGCGCAGCCTCAGAGGAGAGGGGAGTGGCGGGCCGCGCACTCACTGCCTTGTCTTGCAGGCATGAACAACCGGGAGGTGCTGGAGCAGGTGGAGCGCGGCTACAGGATGCCCTGCCCGCAGGACTGCCCCATCTCTCTCCACGAGCTCATGATCCACTGCTGGAAGAAGGACCCGGAAGAACGGCCCACTTTCGAGTACTTGCAGGGCTTCCTGGAAGACTACTTCACCGCCACAGAGCCCCAGTACCAGCCCGGTGAAAACCTGTGAGACCGGGGTCTGCAGAGAGAGGCCTTCCGGCGAGGCTTCCCCGCCCCCTCCCCATTAGCTTTCAGTTCCGTAGCCAGCTGCGCGGGCAGTGCGAGCCGTCCCGGATCAGATTGCATGTGACTCTGAAGCTGACGAACTTCCATGGCCCTCATTAATGACACTTGTCCCCAAATCCGAACCTCCTCTGTGAAGCATACGAGACAGAACCTTGTTATTTCTCAGACTTTGGAAAATGCATTGTATCGATGTGATGTAAAAGGCCAAAACCTCTGTTCAGTGTAAATAGTTACTCCAGTGCCAACGACCCTAGTGCTTTCCTTTTTTTAAAATGCAAATCCTATGTGATTTTAACTGTCTTCACCTGATTCAACTAAAAAAAAAGTATTATTTTCCAAAAGTGGCCTCTTTGTCTAAAACAATAAAATTTTTTTTCATGTTTTAACAAAAACCAATCGGGACAGGTGTTTGGTTTTTTCTTTTTTATAATATGAATATATATAATATATATGTCCCTGTACATACGCCATGTGGGTGCTAATGTGGAGACCATGGCCCACTTGGGCCGTAACGCCTCGGGACCCAGAGTGAGGATTTTACTGCCAAATCAGCATAAAAGCACTGCTGTCATCCTGCAAACCAGTGGCCTCCTTTTTGGCTTTTGCAAAGCATGATCCTTTTTCTTTTTTCTTTTTTTTTTTTTAATTTGGATTGCACTTTTTTGGTTCATGATTGTACCTGTAGATGGCTGTTCCTTTGACTCTTTTCAAGCAGCCCCAGAGCTGAATTCCCAAGTTCTGTTTCCAGTATTTGCTTTGACTTAACTGCGATTTGTTCTCGAAGCCTAAAAGCATATTGAAGCAAGCAAATGGCCAATAACTACCAGGGGAACTGGAAGATGGATACCACACATACTTCTTGTATAAAAATTTGAATGCTGAAATGTTTCAAACTTTTTTTATTTAATAAACCTTGTAACCGCATTTAAATGGTCTAAAACCCATAGCATTAGAGTCATGTCATGGCGACCTGCTAAACTTTCTCATGCAACTAAAACTTCTGAGGGTGGGGGTTGGACATTTCCCATTGTAAAATAAGTGTTTTAAACGTCCTGTACTGCTAATGAAATGACTTTCTCTATGTCCAAGAAGTCTCCAGTGGAATAACTATGCACTACTTAACATTTCATGGGGATGCACCAAAAAAAGAAAAAAAAAAGTATTACATTTTTAGTTGCTGTTTGTACCAACCTTGAATTACATGTTTAACAACAACAAATCAAAAAGCCTATTTCTATTAAGTTTTTAATACTGGGTAGCAACTCTGAAATCTTAATTCCTTTTTTGTTACGATTTATTTGTGAGTTTACATTTTTAATTGTTTAACTTTCTTAATTTAGTAATTAAAAAGAGAGCATTTTACATTTGAATTTTTTTTGTTCATTTGTTTAAATCATGGAAGGTGCTCTAGTAATGACATATCTGTCCCACACCAGGTGATAAGGAGTTCTCTGGTCCATTTAACCATTGTGCAGTGACTTCCAAATGACAGAAACATTCAGAACACTGGGAGTGGGTTCTTCCCCCTAGAAAGGCTGGACCGTTGTCAAGCTATTTCAGAGGATTATTAAAGCAAGATTAAGCATGCTTTCACATTTCAGTCTATCAGACATGGTCTCTAACTGGAATGTTCTGTATCCCACTTGTAGGAGAAAGACAATTACAAGAAGAATCTTTATTGCCCTAGAGTCAGTATATGTATTTCCCGTGGTCTTCTCCCTCTGTAAGCATGTCGCAAGGCAGGAAAACAACCCTTAGTGGTAGGAGGGGCAGTGGGTAGACTGCACTATCTGTCCAGGTGCCTGGCTGTGCACTCATTCAGCTGCGGGACCTTCAGCAGCCATCTGCCACCTCTGTTTTGGGTCCTGTCTGTAGAGATGGCTTTGGATGAGACTTGCCGTAGGTTCCTACAGATCTAAGATCCTGTAATTCAGAGATCATTGCTGTCATGTGGAGTTATACAAGCGGGAGAGTTCTCTTGCTGAAATAACCTTTATACTTAGAACGGGTTTCCAACATTTAAAAAAAAATGGATGAAACAAAGGGATTTTCTGGTTAACCAAGTCGTTCTGGCATTGTTTTAGTATTAATGCAATTGCTAAATTTATAAAAATTTCAAACATCTTCGACAATAACTATCACATTACTGGGCAATTTATTAACATGTTCTAGATACTTTTAAAGATAACTTTGTTTCTCATCTTCACATCCCACTAGGTTGGATACTTTGCAAATATTCTCCGAAGGATTGTTATTTATGTTTCTGACTCAGTCATTCAAAAAAAAAAAAAAACTGAAAAAATTATAACCTGCTTTAAACAGATTCTTTAAGAGAAAACTTAGTTTCTTCAAATCAAAGTGTAGCCTTTAATTCATCCGTTGAGTTTGTTGTGGATTCTCTCCTATGAATCAGAACTAAGGACTTGGGTTAACTTGAGGTCACTCTGACAAAATGTTCTGAAACAGTGTGGGGCTGCAGGATGAAAGAGTAGCTGCAGATACAGAGAAATCAGAGATGTTTTCAGGGTTTTTCTTCCGAAAGTTGAGTGCTGCCCAGAGATATTCCTCAGGTAGACCAGTCCAGGCAAATGAAACCACCTCCAGGGGTTCCCAACACCTCCCAAGAAGCCTCTCTCCCTCCCAGGTTGTAGAAGTGCGGAATGAGGAAACTGAATTCACTGACCAGAGTCATCTCTGGCTAAGAAAGAAGAACAACAGGCACACCTCAGAGATAGTGCAGGTTCCAACCCAGACCACCTCAATACAGCAAGTCAAATGAATGCTTCGGTTTCCCAGTGCATATGAAAGTGATGTTTACACGATACCGTAGTTTAGTAAGTGTGCAAGAGCATGTCTAAAAAAAGTACATGAACTTAATTTTAAAATATTACTAAAAAATGCTGATTATCATCTGAGCTTTCGGTGAGCTGTAATAACTGATCATAGCTCATCATAACAAATATAGTAATGAGAAAGGGTGAAATACAGCGAGAACTAGCAATATGACAGAGACACGCAAAGTGAGCCACTGCTGTTGGAAACACGGCGCCGATCGACTTGCTCGACGCAGGGATGCCACAAACCTTCCATGTGTAAGAAACAGAGTATCAGCAAAGCACCATATAATGAGGTATGCCTGGGTCTTGAATGGTACCTTAGCAGCAAGTGTTGGTGAAATGGTTTTTGTCTTTAGGACCCTGGTAGTGAATAAGTATTTGCTCTGCTGCCTTAGGAGAGCGGGCGTCTGGCATTGCTGTGCTGCAGAGGGGGACTTCTTAATACATTATTTCTTTTTACTTTCTTAAAATCAAATAATAGAGCAACTGGACAAGACCACTTGACGAAGCTCAGATGTTGAAAATGTGACAACACGATTCCCATTCACCCAACGCTCACGGCAGCTCACACTCTTCGAGGTGCTTCGTTCACAGTGCATTGATGGGCTGGGAGGACCCGCGAGCCAGGAGTGGACGCAGGGCCTCCCGCAGGCTGGGGCATCGGGGTGTAGACCCAAGCTAATGATGCATTTGGCTCTGACTCGGTTGTGGCAAAGAAAGGTGTATGGGGAACCAGGCAGCTCCCCCAGAAAAGTTAAGGGTATTCATAAACCCTCAAATACAGCCACAGTACTGAAGATTTTCTGACAAGTGCCGGAGGGTGTTTACCTGCCCGGAGAAAGACAGGAATCCTCCTGTGGCTAAATCTTGGCACCAGAGGATTTTTCTAGTAGCGTTGGAGCTGCAAAATTTTTATCTGAAATTTCCTCTGGGACCTGAAGAAGGTATACTGCACTAATTGGAATGGTTCTTTCATGAGTCTTAAAAGAAGGTGAGGTTTTCGGCAGTATGCAGAGGGGAGCCTACCGCAGGAGGGATGTCATCTGTCCTTGTGTCAGTGCTCAGGACAAGGGAGCCTCGCTTGACAGAAGAGGCATTTCCTAACAAGTTATATTTGGATAAAATGGTGTTTGGTGAATTTGTTCCTGAAATGTAGTCTAATAGGTTTAGATGGCTTTTGCCGGCTTTCTTACCACTAGATACTATACTGTGGGGATTCAGTTAGGCTGTCCAAAATATTTGCCGGAAGGAAGAAAAGGAGGGAGAGGGGGGGAAATAGGGGGAAAAAAAGGAAGGATAGAAAAAAATAATCTGGGGGTAGAGGGAAGGAAGCTCAAAACTTTTATTCTAAAAATGATATTGTGGGGGTACAGATTTAACAAGTGAGTACCAATAATATATGTTTATTTAATTCTCAAAAATAGATGACATCTACCGTGAAGAAAATAATGAAAAATTAGTATCTTTAATATCTTTGAAATCTCAGATAGACCTTCGTAATGTATATATACCTATCTTCCCAGAAACTTTTCATAATAAATTCCTAAATCATGCCTCATTCTTTGCAAACATGCAAAATATCCAGAATCCCATGGGGGCAGGGGGAGACATGACTTTATTTTCAAAATTCTAAGGACTGAAAATAAAAATAAGAGTTTTCCCAGCTTGGCAGGGACTATTCTAAGGAGAATGTGATCAGCGACAAACGACCGCTCCACCAGCAGCCAGAACACTGTGCCCCTTTCCGGAATACTTAAGATTCTTGTAATACTGTGTTTAATAATATGACTCTTCTTTTAATGCACCTTCCCTGCCGGACTGTGAGCTCCTTGGGATCGGTAACTGCCTAACGGGTTCACCAGTGTTCTCCCTGCCCTGAGAGCAACGATGAGCTGCTGGGAGACATTGAATGGGTGGATGGTGGCTAAGTGGGTGAGGCCGCCTAGTGGGGCATATGACTGACCTGCAAATGATGCACTGGCCTAGGCCCGTGCCGAGCACACTGGGATTTGCTGTGAGCTGCCAGCCACACTAGCCCTGCCCCCTGCAAATGTGTTGTCACCAGTCTTCAGTATGTGATTGAAGTGAACCCCATTAGTGCTTCCCAGGTCTTTGCCCAGAACTCATCCCAACACTAATGCGAATAAACTTGTCCACCCTGGGACCTGAGGCCTTCAAGGTCTCATGCTAAATTTGTACTTTTATGAAAATTTGATATTCTCCCTAGGATATCCATTTTTTATCTTCACATAAAATTATTTTCCCAGACCTTCAGGTTGTGCATTGTTAAGCAGACTACAGCTTGTAGGATTCCTGGCACACTCCTGCACAGCCCAGGGAGTACCTGCACCCTGCTTGAGAATCACAGCATGAAGATGTTGTCCATAAAATATTATTATTAACATAAAAATAATGTATTTGGGAGAGGTAACATTAATCCCCATTAATATGGATTCTCTTATCTGATTCGCTTTTTTCACCCAGCAAAGAACAGCCCCTCTGACTGAGAATGGGACTGAAGCCAGGAGGGTTTGATAATGGGAAGAAGAAAACCATCCAGAGCCACCCAGAAGTGAAAGTCTGGTCAGGTCAACCTGTTGGTCCAAGATGGCAGCAAATGGGAGTAAACAGGATGGAGACACTGGACAAGGAGGAAAAAACCAGAGCTGGGATGAGAGGAGTCCTTTGCCAAGGCTGTTCAAGGTAGTGGGATAACAGTAGATATGACTATGGATATATATAAGGACTTAACATTCATTCCTTCTCCATACATTTGCTGCGTGCTTATTATGGGCTAGCCCATGTGCTAGCACTAGAAAGTCAGAGAGACAATATTCCTAGTCCAGTGAGGATGGAGACCCATAAAAGATTGTTGCAATAAGCTCTCTGCAGGGCGCCTCTGTGGCTCAGTAGGTAGAGCATGTGACTCTTTTTATTTCTAAAGATTTTATTATTTTTAAGTAATTTCTTACCCAATGTGGGGCTCAAACTTACAACCTTGAAGTCCAGAGTCGCATACTCTACCAGCTGAGCCAACCAGGTGCCCCTAGAGCATGTGATTCTTGGTCTCAGGATTGTGAGTTCAAGCCCCAGGTTGGGGGTAGAGTTTACTTTAAAATATATATTTATATATATAGGTGGTAGCAAAGGAGTGCTATCCAGCCCAGGATGGGGAGTGTAGAGAAGGTCTCCTGGAGGAGGTGATGCCTGAACTCGATCTTAAAAGACAAGTGGAAATAGATTATGTACTATGTAATTGTAGTCCCAGTGTTTTTTGCCTTTGGATGTGTTTCCTTCTGATTCCCAACCCCCATTAGGGGCTGGCACATGTTTTAAATATAGAAGGTGCTCAGCAAATGCATCTAAATGAAGAAAAAACAAGCAAAAAT